AGGAGGAGGAGGAGGAGGAGGAGGAGGGAGGAGGAGGAGGAGGAGGAGGAGGAGGAGGAGGAGGAGGAGTAGGAGGAGGAGGAGAGGAGTAGGAGTAGGAGTCAAGCTAGCCAGCTCGAGCGAGTCAAGCATGGCATGCCCAGTCCCACCCGCCCTCCCACAACATAAGAAGCAAAGCTGGCACAACTGGGGGCCGAAGTCACACCGGCCAGCCGGTTTGGTACAGCTGATGCGGCCGCGATGGCGGTTGCCGACGGGAACTGGCGAGCGCGTGTTGAATGCCGCGCACGCATTGCCAGACGAGTCGAGAATGGCCCGGTACACCGCAGGAAGCCAGAGGTGGCCGGAGGAAGCCCGACGGTCTGACAGGACACCCCAAGGGGGCCCAGGAGGCCCCAAGAGGCAGGAGTAGTAGTACCAGTGGTAGTGGTGTTGGTAGTGGTAGTGGTAGTAGTAGTAGTAGTAGTAGGTAGTAGTAGTAGTAGTAGTAGTAATAGTAGTAGTGCTAAGTAGTAGTAGTAGTAGTAGTAGTAGTAGTAGTAGTAGTAGTAGTAGTAGTAGTAGTAGTAGTAGTAGTAGTAGTAGTAGTAGTAGTAGTAGTAGTAGTAGTAGTAGTAGTAGTAGTAGTAGTAGTAGTAGTAGTAGTAGTAGTAGTAGTAGTAGTAGTAGTAGTAGTAGTAGTAGTAGTAGTAGTAGTAGTAGTAGTAGTAGTAGTAGTAGTAGTAGTAGTAGTAGTAGTAGTAGTAGTAGTAGTAGTAGTAGTAGTAGTAGTAGTAGTAGTAGTAGTAGTAGTAGTAGTAGTAGTAGTAGTAGTAGTAGTAGTAGTAGTAGTAGTAGTAGTAGTAGTAGTAGTAGTAGTAGTAGTAGTAGTAGTAGTAGTAGTAGTAGTAGTAGTAGTAGTAGTAGTAGTAGTAGTAGTAGTAGTAGTAGTAGTAGTAGTAGTAGTAGTAGTAGTAGTAGTAGTAGTAGTAGTAGTAGTAGTAGTAGTAGTAGTAGTAGTAGTAGTAGTAGTAGTAGTAGTAGTAGTAGTAGTAGTAGTAGTAGTAGTAGTAGTAGTAGTAGTAGTAGTAGTAGTAGTAGTAGTAGTAGTAGTAGTAGTAGTAGTAGTAGTAGTAGTCTATCGGATTGGATGGGCGGGCGCGGGGTGTGCGCCGCGTCCCATTCCTGCCATGCATTTTGCGACGTGGACGACAGGACGTCCATGCGACGGTGCCAATGACGGCGACGACTCTAGAAGGATTTGAGCATGCGCTCGCGGCGACGCGCGCGCATGTCGCCCGCGTGGTATTTTTTGCACAGGATTCGCGGCCTGGGTGCATGACAGAGCATCGCGAGTGCACCGCGCGATGACGTGAAATCGCTGGATTTGAATTCTTAAGATTCCTATGGTTTTCCTATGATTTCAGCAAGAGAGCCCGGGCAGGAAATTTGTACAATTTTTGTGAAAAAGCATTGGGTTTTTGATGTTTTTATGTTGAAATGCTTGCAAACACACGGTGTTCGGTAGGATTCTGACATGAACGCGCGCGTGTGCTCTTTGTGGTATTTTTTGCAATGGATTATCGCCGTGGACGACAGGACGTCCATGTCGAGAGGAAAAAATAAGAAAAATGTTGATTTTGTATTGTTTTTTACAGGTTAGGATGGGACCACCTGGATGGGGCCCCTATCTGCCGGCCTGACGGGGAGTAGGAGTATATTCTAATAAGGAGTAAGGATTGGAGGAGGAGGAGGAGGAGGAGGAGAATGAGGCTGACGAGAAGGAGAAGGGGGCGGAGGAGGAGGAGGAGGAGTAGGAGGAAGAGGGTGAGGAGGAGGAGGAGGAGGAGGAGGAGGAAGAAGAGCTGTTCTGGCTCTCAAGTCTGCGGAAGGTGAGGAGGAGGAGGAGGAGGAGGAGGAGGAGGACAAGCACATGGAAATCGGCACGGGTTCCAAGAGCCCCGCTGTTTTAATATGCTCTAGAGTTCTTAACACAAGAGAAGAGGGGGTCGCAGTCCTCCCAGACAAGCGATTGTGGACCCCCCACGGACCAGCCATGACAGGGCGGCCTGTTGCCCAGACCCCATGACAGGGCGGCCTTTTGCCCAGACCCTATTGGCACCGGCCGAGACAACTGCAATCAGACCCGCTCCCAAATCAGACCACCCCCTTTTTTAATGTGAAATCCGGAGCACATACTCCCAGACCCCCGACGTCATGAATAACGTCGACCCACAGAAGTCTCGACCTATATCCCCATGGGGACCGGTTTCTCATCCCGCATCGTTTCTTTGTTGACGGCCCCGAGGCCTGGTGAGTGCCCCCCAGAAGCTGGAACTAGGGAAAGACCCCCCGTCGTGATTTTTCATAACCCGAGGGGTCTGGGTCATCGCGCATCGCTGCATGCCGCCTCCTTCCCCGTCCCTTCGTCCTCCTCCGTCTTCGCCTCCTCTCCTTGAGCAGGGCCCGACCGTCCCGGCATTCCTATAGGCATACCACGACATGTTCTACCGTCCCAGCATTCCTACAGGCCTACCACGACATGTTCTTAGAACCCATCACTGTTCCAATAAAAGAAACAATGGTCTTAGAACATGAGCCCGATGTGCTAAAAAAAGACAGCCCCAGCCAGAACTGTCCTAAGAACATCTCGTGGAAACCACTAAAGGCTCTCAGAACATCGTTTGGTAGGCCTATAGGCGAGCCAAGACGCTTCGCCACTGCTTGACACCCTCTCCTCTCCCCCCCCGATATTGGACGCCCGAAATGGGCACGGAAAAAATGGGTGCAATGCCCAACAACAAATGTTGTCCAAAACCAACAGCGACCGCAGTTGGGCAGGCGGCCTTCTGTCTCGAATGGACACGGGCCGCGGCGGCGTGGACGGCGAACCCTGTTCAAAATGAACAGGGACTGCTGTTGGGCATTATACCCATTCTTTCCGTACCCATTTCGGGCGAAAAACAAGGCTAGGATCGGGATAAATCGCTCCAGAGCGTTCCGGAGCGCTCTCAGAGCGTTCCGGAACGCTCTGGAGCGGCCGCGGCGCCGGATACATCCTCCAAACCCGCCGATTCTCAGAGATTTCGGGTTACCCCGATCCGATGTTGTCCCGATCTTCGCGTCGTTTTATTATACCCACTCTTTCCGTCTTTCCGTACCCATTTCGGGCGTCCAGACCCGAGGCCACGATCCGCGGGCACGCCCCTGCCGGCCCCGACATGGTGGGCAGGGGGCGCCCGCCGACATCCTCTCCAGAGAGCGGCCCTGCCAGGACCAGCGCAAAAGAGGCCCTGCCAGGGAGCGACCCTGCCAGAGAGCGACCCTGCCAGAGAGCGACCCTGCCCAGGACCAGGAGTGCGGCCCTAAAACAGGGCTAGGATCGGGATAAATCGCTCCAGAGCGTTCCGGAGCGCTCTCAGAGCGTTCCAGAACGTTCTGGAGCGGCCGCGGCGCCCAATACATCCTCCAAACCCGCCGATTCTCAGAGATTTCGAGTTATCCCGATCCGATGTTGTCCCGACCTTCGCGTCGTTTTAGGCCCTGCCAGAGAGCGACCCTGCCAGGACTGCCGGCGCCGTGACTCTTATCCCAACGTGGTGCCCCAAGGGTCTCGGGCGGGTGGCGCTCCAGATCCCTTCTTAATCGTCCCCCGGGCTCTCGGTCTTTTGGGGCGCCTTTTTTGGAACTGGGGGGGTCCTGTTTGCTAGGGCGTCTTCTTCGAATTGGAGCTTAGGGGGTCCGGCTTCTCAAGGCGCCGCGTCGCAGAGGGGGGTCCGGAATAGCGGGTCGCATTTGGATGGGCGTCCGTTTCTTCTTTTTTTTGAGGGGGGGGGGGGCGATTCATAAGGGATTTGGATTGATGGGCGGTGATCTCACTGGAGGGCGAGGTCGAGGGCCCTCAAAAGGAGCCCTCTCGGGCCCTTGGTGGGCCCCCGCTGGCTCCCAAAAGGGGCCCAAGAAGGGCCCCATGGAGGGTCCTCCTCTTCATCCCCCCCTGTGGGCCCCCCCCCCCCATGCCAGCCGCCCGAAGATCCTGGTGTCTTCCCCACGTTCGGTTTTTCCATCATCGGGAGCGGCCAAGAGGGGGGTGTCCAAGAGGGCGGGGTGCACATCATGACCGGCGGCATGTGCGCGGCCCAGCGGGGAGGCCAGGGACGTAATGGAACAAGAGGGGGCGCCATGAGATCTGGGGAAATATCATGGCCCACGCCATGATATCCACCCCCCCTAGTCATCACCCCCCTCTTTTCCGCCCCCGACATCAGTGCCATTTTCTGACGGACCTGGGGCCGGAAAAGGGCACCAGAGAGGCCGAAAATTGCTGAAAGCATCACTTGGCGATCATTCAATCGTTTCGCTCACTCTGCTGGCTCATACTGTAGCATCGTTGGCACTCGGCTGCGTGCTCGCGGGCGCATTTTTGCGGCCCCTTGCCCCAAAAAATGGCGCGACCGAGAATTCCAAAACGGGACACAACGGGACAAAACGAAGCTCAGAGAAACAAAAACACGCTCCCAGCATTTCTACTGCGGGTTCGTGTCGTATCGACCCCAGCGTTGGTTCCTGACACCGCGGAACTCGTTCAAACTTGAGGCATCGGCCTGTTCTAAACATCAAATCGGTCAACATCGACCGTCGGCGGTGCATCGGCGACGTCGGCGTCGAGAAACACGGACTCCGCATCGAGCCGCATCGCCGATGCGGCGCTATCCTCCGACCCAATTTACTCGGACCCCATCTGGGAGGCCTAGATGATCCCAGAGCACTTCGAGGAGGAGGGGGACGAGAGGGAGGAGATGGAGGAGGAGGAGGACGAGGAGGAGGGCGAGGAGAAGGAGGAGGATGACGAGGAGGAGGAGGAGAAGGAGGAGGAGGAGGAGGAGGAGGACGAGGAGGACGAGGAGGACGAGAGGAGGAGGAGGAGGAGGAGGAGGAGGAGGAGGAGGAGGAGGAGGAGGACCGCCCCTGATCCCAGAGCGCCCTGTGAAGCGCTGGCAGACCCCGCGCCCGCCCCGCGCCTGCGCCGCCGCGGCGCCAGGGGGCGCCGCCGTCCCACGCCGGTCCTTTTCCGGCGCGCCGGTCCTCCTCGCGTCCTCCTCCCCAGGTTGAGAGGAGCCCCAAGAGGGGGGAGGGGAGTCAGATGCGCATCCGTCCCTGGGGGTCCTCCTCCCCCTCCCCTCACCCTTCCCACGCCGGTCCTCCTCCGGTCCTCCTCCCCAGGGGGGGGGTCCCAGAGGTGAGTCCTTTTCCTCCTCCTTTTTCTCCTCCTCCTCCTCCTTTTCCTCCTCCTCCTCCTCCTCCTCCTCCTCCTCCTCCTCCTCCTCCTCCTTATCTCCGCCTCCTCCTCCTCCTCTTCCTCCTCCTCCTTCTCCTTTTCACCCCCCTCCTGGTCGTCGTCGATGTCTTTCGGGGTCGGCGGCGCCGGCCGTCAGGCCTTCACAGTAGATTAATCGATCTGTATGTATTTACAAAAACAAAGAAATCCCACCAGCCCTCTGGGCGTCGGTGGTTTAGAGCGTTTCCTCTTCCACCCCTCCCTCTTCCCCCCCTACCCCCTCCCCGTGGACCTGGACGGGGGGGGCCGCGAGCGGTCAGATCGTCCAATACGGCCTCGGCGAGGAAGCCAAAATCATTTATTTATTTTTTAAGTTTTGGCCCAGTTCTGGCCTCCTGGGGGGACGAGGCTAATTGGAGATCCCGTTTTCTTTGAAGCCCAAATCATTGGTTTTACCATGGCTTTGGCCCCACGTTCGCCTCCTGAGGGGGCAACCCTAATTGAAGCCCCCCTCTTCTTTGAAACCAAAATTATTGATTTGACAATGGTTTTGGCCTCATTTTGGCATCCTGAGGGGGCAACCCTACTTGAAGCTCCCCCCTTCTTTGATCGATGTCCTCCAATATGGCCCCGAGCAGCGCCCAGGAGGCCCCAAGAGGCCCCAATATGGCCCCAAGAGGCCCCAAGAGGCCCCCAGGAGGCCCCCAAGAGGATCCCCAGCGGCCCAAAGAGCCCCCCCCGAGGCACCCAAGACGCCGAAAAGCCCCTCAGGTCGATCCTCCACTCGCCTGGGCGTCGTTTCTGGATGGGCAGGTGGGGGTACTTTTTTTCGATCGCGTCCGCGAGCGAGAGCACAGGCGGAGTCAGAAGCGTTCTGGGGCACGGCGACGGCCTCGTTAGCTACTAAACGCGCCGCAAGCCGGCCGGCCCACTCACCAAGCAGCAGCGGGGCTGCGCGGGAAAGCTGACGGGCTGAGGGCATCCAGGGAAGCTCAGGCACGAAATTCGGTGTATGCCGTGAGGCATAACCCACTCAGACAGCGCGAGGACGCGTGCGCAGATGTCTACGTATCCATCATGCCTGGTGGGCGTTCAGGCGAGGTGAACGATGCTGATGGGGATACTCTTTTTTTATTAGCGGCCCGCAAGGCAAAGTCCAGAAGGCGTAAGAACCGAGGCTGGGGCACAGCGCAAGATAATTAGCGTGAGAACGCGCGGAGTGCACATGCAACGAGGAGTCGCCCTGGCGGCGCCAAGCCGGGAAGAAACAAACACAAGCAGCCGGCCGCGAGGCACGCACAGCCTGCGCCGGTGCAGTAGCAGAGGCCAGACCAGCCGAAGGCGGCGGGAGCGGCGGACGGAAACGCGAGCAAGCGAGGAGCCGCCCAAACGGCGCCCGCAAGCAGCGACCACTTGCCAACCACAGCACGCACGGGGCCTGTACCCATGCAGCCGCGACGGCCAATTCAGCTGTAGGCAGCAGGGGAACTGCCTACAGGCAGAGCGAACGGAGCGAGAGGCGGCGAGACAGGCAGAAGGAACCCTCACTCACGGAGCACCCGGTGCTCATCGATTACCACAAGAGCGCAACTGGAAAACTCCGTCGAAAAGAGATGGAAAGTGCCATGGGCGGACAACCGACACGCACGGTAGAACCACCATAGGGTACACTAACTGACGAACGTGCCTTGCTCAGATCCCACCCCTGCTACCACAGCCTGTGCCAAAGTGGCGCGCCGTGGCCCGCTGCCATATATCCTCACTCCAGGAGATGACCCGGTGCATCCAAACTGCAGAGCGACTAGCTCACTGAGACTCACTGATCCCGCCGACAGGCGTCTGCCGTGCCCCAGGCACGGTGAAGGGCGACTGCAGCTTGCTGGCATCCTCGTGCTGGGTAGTGCTGCAGCCCGTAGCCTTACCACGCGAGCGAGCTGGCCTGTAAGCATGGAGGCCCAGAGCAGTGGGGAGGGTTATTGCAGCCGAACCCCACAAGCGGAGCCCACGGATACCATGGGCGGACGCAGTGAAAGTGCACCTCACTCCCAGGAGGACGCACGTGGACTGGCCCAGCTCCTTCACCTGTGGCCTGCCAATGAGCGCTGGTGGGGATGCGCGAAGCGTTTAGAATTTACAAAGAAAGAAAACAACAAAACGGCGAAAACCCGGGCTCTCTGGTGTGCGGGTGCACAAATGCCAAGCGAGATATATCCGGTGGGCATTGAACCACAAGAGGAGAGCCTGGAGGGCCGGAACAGGCAAGTCGATTGAAACATTCCCACAGTCTGATCGCGAATCCTGGATTGTGTGTTCGCCACTGGCGGTTCCCCCTCGGGGTGCCAAAATGCCACGCCTGCTATATCGCAGTGAAGAATGAACCAACAGAAAAGCCTGAATGAGTCTGAATCACTAATGAGGAAGAGTGTTTCGGGCCCAGGCCAGAAGAACATCCCTCAAGAACATGAAACCCTCCGTCGGCCACCACACGCATAAACATTGGGGTGCACAAGAACATCCAACGACCACGAAGAACATCGGGGTACCCTCCCCGAACCAGCCTCGATCTTATGCCTCGGTCCGACTATACAGCTATTCGGCACATCCGAGGGGCCTCCCAAGAGACCCCAACAAGACTTCCAAAGAGGCGTCTTGCCCGCGACCCAGTTTGGTCCCCAAAGCGCCCCCAGAAGCAGTCGAAAGGCCTTTTCCTCTTCGTCCTCCTTTTCCTCCTCCTCCCCTCCTCCTACCCTATCGAGTCCCCTCTTCTCCTTTTCGCCCGCCATGGGCACATCACAGCGGTGCAGTATGGGCCGGCGGGATGGTCGAAACGATCAAATACAACTATTCGGCATATTTCTGCTTCTGGGATGAGCACCAATATCCGCCTGCAATCTCGAAGGCGCCGACAGAGGTGGACTGCTCGAACTAGACTCGGAAACCCGGTTTTGCATTGCAGCCGTTCTGCTGCTTCAGGATTTTTTGTTCGACGAAGTCTCGGGTGACCGGCCACTGATCTAACCTTTCAGCTTCGGGCAACTCCACGCAAACCCGCGCGCAGCACTACTGCGCATCCCTTCCGAACGTCAAGAGATCCAGGGGGGGAATGGGGAATGGGTCAGTCTCCAGGCCCCACGGTGGTGGACAGGGCCCCTATCACGTTGCCCAGGGGTACACAAACAAATCTATCACATCCCAGAAGCTGCAATGCTTACAGAGCTCCTGGACTTTATTCCGCCCCTCCACTTCCCATGCGTTCCATGACTAGTTATCCCAAGGAAGAACCGCACGTATTGGTGGTGTCAGTGCCTCTTTTCCCGCCTGGCCCTGGAACGGAGCGGTGACGAAACCGTGCGGCCACCCGGAAACCCTGTCGGCTCACCCCACGGCGTGGCCACCGCGCCGTTCTGGGGGCCCCGGAGAGGGCACGCCCTGCAGGGGGCACGGCGGCCCGCGGGGCCAGACCCGGCGGGCCAAGTCCCGCAGAGGCGGCGGCCGCAGGGGCCGTCCCGAGAACCGAACGCGGGGCAGAGCGCCCGTCGACCCGGCTGGGCTGGGGGCTCTACAAGTCGGGCCGTGCCAGGAAGATGCGCGGTGAGGACGCAAGGGCCCCGGAAGGCCCAGTCGGCACTCCGCGGGAGGGGGGCGGCCAGCGAAAGCGGCCAAGGATGGGCCGAGAGGGGAAGGATGCACAGCACCCCTGGGGAAGTCGCTCATCTCCTTACTTTAGGTCGGACATGTCCTCCTACAGGCGAATTTGGAAGAAAAATGAAAGTAGTACACCGTACTCACCTCGATAGCGCTCACTTCTATAGTGCTCACTTTGAAATTGTGGTCCGGAAAGGGCCGCACATGCAGGCACATGCCGCACAGTCGCATGCACATGGCCATGCAAATCTACAACAGCCTCAACAGCATTGCCGCACTTGCGCGCACATGCCACACCGTCCGTCGCACAGTCGAATGCACGGTCAAGCAAAACTCGGAAAGCATAGACGCACATGGCCGCACATGCCGCAGAGATGTCGCAGGCGATAGTGGCCTGACCACCTGAGCTCGGGGCATTTCGCAACCCAGAGTTGCGAGGATGTCTCAGGCAAGCGTGGCCGGACCACCATGGGGCAGGGCATCTTGAAAATCGAGTGGCGAGGATGTCGCTGGTCAAGGTGACCAGACCACCATGGGGCAGGACACCTCCGAGGTCTGAGTTGTGAGGATGTCTCAGGCGAAAGTGGCCTGACCACCATGGGGCAAGAGATCTCTGAGGTCAGAGTTGCGAGGATGTCTCTGGCGAGAGTGGTCTGACTACCTCAGCCCAGGGCGTCTCGGAACCCAGAGTTGCGAGGATGTCTCAGGCAGGAGTGGCCTGACCACCTGCTCAGGGCATCTCGGAACCCAGAGTTGCGAGGGTCTCAGGCATGTGCGCGCATGTGCGTCGGACTGTGCGTGCATGTTCGTATGATGGACGCACCACAGCACAACGCACATGCCCCCGCACATGCCGGGGCACGACGTGCACGGTAGGAAGTCCATCCAAGAAGGGCCGCACAGGCCTGGCACATGACTGGCACATGCCGCGCACATGCGCGCACATGACAGCGCAAAAACGGCCGCACACACACACACACACCCAGGGGTACAGATGTGAGTGCGGTGTAAGAGCATGCTTAACACTAGTCACAACACAATCGCGAAGTCGTCCACATACTCGTTTACTATGTTTGGATATTCCTCCTGTAGAGGGACATGCCCGACTTAAGCCTTACTGTGCGGGTCGACTGTCTCACACGT